TTCTCCCCCTGAGCTCCTTTTTCAAATTTGGAAATAAATAAAAATCAGTGGGAGCCAAGTCTGAACTGTAAGGTGGGTGAACAAGACATTCGAATCCTTCTTTGTATAGAGCAGCCATCGCAAATCGCACTTGCGAACTGACTCATTATCCTGCAGGAGCAGTACACCTTTATTCAACTTTCTTCTTTTTTCCTTGATGGCGGCCCTTAATTTTTCTTGTATTGAAGCATAGTAGTCTCTAGTAGTTGTGGTATCTTTTTCTTTGTAATCTACTAGCAAAATTCCTTCACAGTCCCAAAACACTGTAGCCATCAACTTTCCATTCGATTTTGACACCTTAAACTTCTTAGGGGTGGTGTACCCTTTTTGTGCCATTGCATCGATTTCTGTTTGGACTCAGGTTCGAAGTGAAGAAGCCAAGTTTCATCTTCTGTAACAATCTTCTCCAAAATCGGTCTAGGTTCGTCGCTACACAGTTCCAAAAAATGCTTACATACCACTACAAAAAAATTTTTTTTGTCTTTGCCCTCAAAATGGGCCGAAACAGCTTGTTTGACTTCATTGTCATTGGAAAATTTTCGCCCCCTGCGCTTCTTTTTCAAATTTGGAAATAAATAAAAATCACTGGGAGCTAAGTCTAGACTATAAGGTGGGTGAACTAGAGATTCGAATATTTGTTTGTGTAGAGCAGCCATCGCAAGTTGGCACATGTGAATTGGCGAATTATCCTGTAGAAGCAGCACACTTTTCGTCAATTTTCATCTTCTTTTTTCCTTGATGACGGCCCTTAATTTTTCTTGTATTGAAGCATAGTAGTCTCTAGTAGTTGTGGTATCTTTTTCTTTGTAATCTACTAGCAAAATTCCTTCACAGTCCCAAAAAACTGTAGCCATCAACTTTCCAATCAATTCTGACACCGTAAACTTCTTAGGGGTGGTATACCCTTTTTGTATCATTGCATCGATTTCTGTTTGGACTCAGGTTCGATGTGAAGAAGTCAAGTTTCATCTCCTGTAACAATCTTCTCGAGAATCGGGCTAGGTTCGTCGCTACACAGTTCCAAAAAATGCTTACATACGTCTACTCTCTGTAACTTTTCACGCGGAGTAAGCATTCTTGGTATCCATATTGCACTGAATTTAGTCATGTCAAGGTGATCGTGTTCGTTCAGACGAGCATCTATCAATATTTTTCTATTATGTTCGACTTGATGGCCTCAATCGGCCGTCTTCAATCAACTCTCGACCATATCTAATTGCCCATGCCGCTTGTAAATCATAGTTTTTCTAGGGCAGCGATCACTGTAAACGGCTTCCATTTCGCTCATTATAGTCTGAGCTAACTTTCCTTGTTTTGTCAGGGTGATAACTCGTAAACGAATTACGTCATGGACTTGAAATTTTAATTATATACTCATGATGAATCCGTAGGTTTTTTCCGACTATCTCATATTTTGGAAAATACCTTATCAATCGGCTAAATCTTTCTTATTTAAATTTTCTTTTTGTTAAATGCGATTATCAAAAAGGGCGGCATCATTTTTAGAAAAGTAGGACTTGGTATAATAAAATTCGTAGAAAAACCTTCATATGAATATTATTCTAATATGTATGAGCTCAACAAATGTATTTTAAAACTTTTGAGGGGTTTGCGTCAGAGAGGATTTTGATAATTCGGTTGGAGGATAGTTTTCAGAGAAGTAGGACGTATGTTCAGCTAGACGTAGTGGAAAAAAATATATTCCAAACATTCACATAAAAAGAAAAAAGTGTATAATTTTTATATTCGGTGAAGTTTCTTCTTTATTCGTATATATATAATGATAGTGAACAATTTGTAACTTTTCAGGTTGGTGAATCTTTCTTTTTTTCCTTTATCTAACCATTATTCTTAGTTACTAAAAGTTATTTGGAATTTTTTCATAATATCTACGATAACAGTTCTAGGGCGACCAGGAAGGACTCCTGAACTTTCTAAGTTTCAAAGACTCGGGAGCATGTAATATATAACTCCGCGAAAACAGCTACCCACTTTAAACGAAATGGAGGATAAATAGTAACGGGTTTTTATTCCTTTATATTTTAAAAATCGCTAATAGAAGAAAATATCTAAAAAGTGCTTAATTTTATTTTTTTTACGACTGTAGTATAGTATGTTTTTTTTAATACACCGTCCCATTATGGCCATTATGTACCTATAGCAGATAATGTTAGCGTGACCGGTGTATTTTACGGCAAATTTGTTTAGCAACAGTCCATCCCCTAACCTAATTAAGAGCGGACAGGGTGAGAGTGTGCGGCGGAGTTGGTGGTAGTACATTTCTTTCGGTCCGTGGCTTAATTCGGTGACAGAAGAAGCGAGCGCGGCGAAAGGGGCTGCGTTTGGTTGGTCGTTCGAGGGTGGGCGGCGGTGGGCAAGGGCAAGTGTAAGTGCGGGGGTGGTATACGAGTGTGCGAGTCGTCACGTCCAATGTAATTTCGTTCGTTTAGAGGTAAGAGCCTCTTTGGGCTGGTAAAGTTCACTGATTTCGTTACTACACACATTACCCCACTACAAACTGGCTACTTTGTGGCGGCTAACAGACGAAAACTCCATAAAACAATGCCGGCAAGATAAAAGCTTTGGCCGCGACTACCGACGACGCCGGCGACGGCGGTGGCGTCGGTCGCCTTATTGACGACAACAAATTGGAGATATCCAAAAGGAAAATGCAGTCGGGGGTTGTTTTCGGGGATGCCTCGCCGATACTATAGATACAACTTCCCCCTGACACTCGACTTTTTATAAAAGCAACTCGTAACTCAACAAATTCAAAACTGTATTTCAGTTACAAAATATTGTAATTATTTCGACATCATTGTGTCATCCTCACACTGTTATGTTAATTCTTTAACTGTAATATTGTAATTATGTTTTGGGGGCTAATTTTGAGGGAAAACTTAAGGATGTTTGAGAGGTATGTCAAAATGCTACGAGATAAATAAAAATTTGGAAGAACGTTCCTCATTCAATTCTAAAACTCCTGTAAAAAATGCAAATCGATTCACTAAACTGTTAAAAAGTTATTGAAATTTTACAAAATTGTAATTTTACACGTAATTTTATGGAGATTCGTTAACCGAACAGATTAAATTTATTTTTATTAACAGAAAAAAAGCTACCAGAAATTTCAAACTTTTATAATAAGTAACTTGAACTCTGGAGAATCACTTTAGCGTAAGGTTATTCAAATTCACT